CTATGTTCAATTACCCTCTCCCATAACTTTAAATTATGACACATAAACTTAATTCCTTTGTAATTTGCACACTCTTGTGCATCCCCTTTATTTTTAAAAATGGGGACCAAAATACTCATCCTCCACTCCTCAGGCATCTTTTTAGTTTTTAAAATAATATTAAAGAGTTTAGTAAGCCAAGATACTCCCAAATCTCCTAAATATTTCCATACTTTAATTGAGATATCATCAGGTCCTACAGACTTTCCACCCTTGGTCTTCTTTAAAGCCTCAACTTTTTTTTTACTAATACGACGGTAAAATGAAACGATTTATTACTATTAACAATATTAAATTCACTAAGGTCGATCATATTTTCAGAAACTCCATTAAAAAGTTTATCAAAATAACTCATGCACTATGTTGAATATCTTTTTCTAAGAAACACTTTTTGATTTTCATCTTTAATACACTTTACTTGAGTTAAGTCTTTACTTTTCTTTTCTTTCTTTGGCTAGTTTATATATATATTTTCACCATTCTTAGTATCTAATCTATTATAAATATCATTAAAAAACAGAATTTTTATCATCACAAATTGTACTTTTAGACTCTCTGCAGGCTGTTTGATATTTTACTCAGTTCTCTAAGCTTTTACATTTTCTCAATTCTCTAAGCTTTTACATTTAAACCAATTTTTATAACATAACTTCTTATATTTTATCTTTTTTTGCACATTATTATTCCACCCCAAACTATTTTTATTGTATTTTATCTTTTTTTGCACATTATTATTCCACCACAAAATATTTTTATTGAAAGAAACTTTTTTTGTTTAATCGTTTTTTTACTTTATCCCACATAGAATTTGTTTCTTCATGAACACCCTAAATTTTGAAATCTTAAATTTTACTCATAAAAATAATTTTATTGTCTTTTAGATATCCTTATCTAATTCTACGATAATGATTTATTGTGTTTTTTATTTTACAACTCTTCATCTTAAAATCTAAAATTAACAAATGATGTTGAGTACTTAAATCCTCACTTGAAATGACTTTATAATCTTTACGTTCTCAATGATCTTTTCTTTTCATAAGAAAATAATTAATTTGTATTTTATTAACTCCATTCTTATAAGTAATAATATGCTCATTACTTTTCTTGAATAAAGTATTATTAATAATAAAATCATTCGCTAAAGCAAAATCTAAAATAACTCTACCTTCTTTATTAATCACTCCAAAACCGTAGCCACCATGAATATTTCTGAAATTTTCTACTACTCTACCGACATGTCCATTTAAATCTCCTCCAATTCTTTCTTCAAGAGATCATTTTTATTAAGTTTTCTAAGTCATTCTAGAATTTATCTTTAGACCCTAGATCTAAAACCACTTGAGGGGCATAAGCATATATAATATTAAAAATCTTAGTAAAATTGATAAGAGCTATAATTTTATCTTCAACTCTATTAATTTTTACAACATTATTTTTCACACTCTTATCTATAATTACACCTACACAATTTCTAGTAAGAATCTTACCAAAATACCAAAGTTTAAAACTAAGGTTATCAATCTCCTTAGCCTTATCTCATACCCATTTAGTTTCTTGAATACATAAGATATTAATTTTTCTATGAATCATAATATCAACTAATTCCATTAATTTACCATTCAGAGTATCTATATTCCAATATCCTATCATAATATTAATTTCGTTAGTTTCATGGACTAATTTCTTTACCTGTATCCGTCCGTAATGTGAAAACCCTTACATTTGATCCTACACCCTGGCGCCGGTGTAGCAGGCCTGACACACTTTTTACCGTATTCAGGCTATATAGCACGTCGCTTTCAGGGGACGTCCTAACACTTATACAATGATCAAAATGATCCATTTTTTACTTGTTTTAAAAGACAAGAAAAATAAAAACAAAAATAAAAAGAAAAATTGATCCCAAACAAGCCATCAAAAATACATCTGTTTTTTCTTTTGCTTTATTCTTGCAATACGTCTTCCATTATATTCCTCTCATTACATGTGGGAACGTTATGAGGGTCTATAATATTTATCCTAATTGGAGAGCTGAACAATTTATGAGTTTATTGCCTTTCCAGTTGCAGCTGGATCATTTGCTAATTATTTTACTCGCCCCATACATTATTATTATCTTAGTTATGTTTTCTTTATTTTTATATGGATTTAGATATTGATTTCCTTGAAATTCTATGTTTTCTGCTGCTCTTTGACAATTATATAGTAGTTATTTCTTCAGAGGCTCCATCCGCCTTTGATTATAAATGAACCAAATGAATTTCCATTTAGATCGCGTTTGTTATTACTTGTAAGACTTGAACTTTGAAATCAACTGATTTTGTAACGTGGCCATCCAAAATATGATGATTTCTGAAAGTTTATACCTTTCATTCTGCAAAATATGAAAAACATTGATATTGTTTACTTTCAGAAATTGATATTCTGTGATTGATTGGTGTGCCTGTGGAGAGATGGGAGAATTGGAAGTTCACAAGCACGTACAGTACATTCTCGCAGTTGAAAAGGTTTGTTTTTTCTTCATCTTTTTCAGAGTTAACTAACAGAACCCTTTTAAACTATATATTTTGACCACCAGAAAAAAGACAGTTTTGAGGCTTTGGTGATGGAGCATTTGAGAATGAATGGTGCATATTGGGGTTTGACCACTCTAGATCTTCTCCAAAATATTGCAGTAATTGATCAAGAAGAGGTTATCTCTTGGTTGATGTCATGCTGGGACAAAGAAAGTGGTAAGTTACTACAACTGCAGCGTCTTTTAACACAAAATGGGAAATTATAATGCGATTAATTGCAGGAGGCTTTTCTGGAACTGTTGGGCTTGATCCTCATCTTCTATACACGCTTAGTGCAGTTCAGATTTTAGCCCTTTTTAATAGGCTTGATGTTCTGGACATAGATAAGGTCTCTAAATGTATCCTTCATAAAATATTCTTAGCTTTGAATTTGTTTATTTTTTCCATGTGAATGATCAAATTGTTTTGCACACGCAATGGCATTTTCCAGTTTAGTTGATTTCCAAAACACTAGCCTCTAGTGTTATCCTACTAGAGTAAAAATTTTTTTTTAAAGGTTAATCACCTATGACTTATTTATAAAAGTTGATAGCAGCCTTAAAAATATGTTCATTCATCTTCTTAAAATTGGAACAAATAGTGCCAGATCCCTAAAGACCAACAGGAGCTGCCACCGATGGTAAAATATTGGCATCTGCTTGCAGAAGACAACCAGTTTCTAAAATAGGTTTTGGTAGCAGCAATCATGACCTATGTTATGTTTTGGCTCTAGTGTTCTTACCAGTTGCCTCTAATTTTCATTAGCATGTCCACGCCACTACCACTGAAATTGGCATGCTATACACAGTTCTGTTTTTAATTCTTTTTATTTTTTGCTTAAGAAGTGATATTTTCACACGAGGTGTTTTTATTTTGGTTATTACTTTTGCTTAAATAAGTATGTTAGATGTTGCTGGGCTACAGAACGAAGATGGATCATTCTCTGGTGATATGTGGGGTGAAATTGATACCAGGTAAACCATCCATCCTAATTTCTTTTACGGTCTAAAGGAGACGCCACATTAAAAAAGTTTCTAGTACTTTTTTTTTCTATCCAGGTTTTCTTACTGTGCAATATGTTGTCTTTCAATTTTACACTCTCTGGACAAAATCAATGTGGAGAAGGCTGTGAAGTACATAGTTAGCTGCAAAAACTTGGACGGTGGATTTGGAGCTACACCCGGGGGCGAATCTCATGCTGGACAAAGTATGCTGCATCATGCATGTTCTCTGTGCCTTTAACTTGAATTCTTGCATCCATTCATGCTTTGCCTCATTTATGGATATCCAGATTTATGAATTAATGATAGTTTGTTATGCCTTTTTATCCAATCTCATATTCTAAAAATTTTCTCTCACCTCTAATTATCAATGCTTCTGCACCGCCACAACTGCAGTCTTCTGCTGTGTGGGCGCCCTTTCTATAACCGGTTCTCTGCACCACATTGATAGGGATCTTCTTGGTTGGTGGCTATGCGAGCGACAATGCACAGATGGCGGCTTGAATGGACGCCCTGAGAAGCTTGCTGATGTGGGAGTTTTGATTATTGCATTTATTTCTTTTCTATTAATTTTTTTTAAAAAATTTATTTTATGAAAGGTATTAACTTTTTGTTTTTATAAGCCACCTAGGTCTGCTACTCCTGGTGGGTGCTTTCAAGCTTGATTATGATTGATTGTGTGCATTGGATTGATAAAAGTAAACTCACTGAGTTCATTTTAAACTGTCAGGTTTGTTTTTATAATCCTTTTACATGTGAATCCTTCGAGTAGCCATTTCAATTATGTTTATTATCATATTTTGGAATATGGCAGGACCGGGAAAATGGGGGAATTTCTGACAGGCCAGATAATGCTGTTGATGTTTTCCATACCTACTTTGGAGTTGCAGGTACTTATTTTCTATCTTGTGTTCTTCTTCTTCTCAATCTCCATAAAATTGTGCCATCTTTCTATTTCTCCGCTGGTTGAAACTCCAGATTTTGTTCAATGATGTTTTTTGCATGTGACATGCAGGTCTTTCACTAATGGAGTATGCAGGATTGAAGCCTATTGACCCGGCTTATGCATTGCCCATTGATGTCGTGAATAGGATCTTCTTTAGCAAGTGCTGATTTGTTAAACCAGTTTCTGGAATCCCAAGAATTTAATCGGTAACTGGCTGAAAATTGTGTTATAGGTGATTTATTCTTGCAATACATAAAGTACAAAGATTGAAGCTGGCCACATCGTTAACTTATTAATAATGTGCATTGGCCCATTCTTTCTAAAAGCTGGAAAATTTATTGGATATATATTTGGTTATGGTTGCTGGATAAAAAGCACGTCTAAGATGAGAAGTTTCATCAGAGTTGATGCTTTGGCATTTGTTTTATTGGACTTGTAATATAGATGTGCACTAGATATTCTGTCATTTGTTTTATTATAGTTGATGTGAAACGTCTCATTTGTAATATAGAAGCTTTGTTATTGTTTGCTTTTTATAGGTGAGATTTGTAGCATATGAACTTCTCATGGTGTAACCATCCATCGGTTGGATTTTTTGGTTCATTAATATTATTTTTCAAATTTTAGATTTTTCAGTACTTTTAAAAATGGTTATTTGATATTTTCACTCATAAAAATAGTTTTTTTTTAAATTTTATTTACAAGCAGCATTGATTTATGCTCGATTTTATGTTCATCTAAATTAGATCTGTCAATTATATCTTATATAAATCACTTGTATATGGAAGACAGATCTGTGTTTCATTTTATAATTAAGTTAGTTTTTTGGCATGCAATCTTCTTATTTATAGCTTTCCTATATTTCAACTGCGCCCGATGCCAAGACGGCCTGTTTACGTGTTCTTTTAGTCGCTTTTCGATTTAGTTCTGCCTAATGGTGAAATCCATGCTTCTAAAACAATTAATATCTAGTAATAGTCGAAGAAACTTCATTCTGAAATAAATTAACATTCATCTGAAAATCATAGGGGGGAATCCATAAATCCTTTTTATTGCATGGCTACTAAATTGATAAGTTTGTTGTATGGCACATTATACCTGGAACAAGTATTATTATAAATTTAAAAAATGATGAACAACTTAGGAAATAAAAATATTCATTGTGTCGATGTGGAAATCAATTTTAGCTTTACAAAGTTGGCCATATGAAGAACCTGAGTTGAGAATGGGTATTGCTAACAATCTCTCATTTATGGTTTAATTTGTAGCAAGACTCTCCAGCCCTATTGTTTGGCTTGATTACCACATTGGAGGAGCATCATGATGACATCAAATTTTAATGGCAGGTATGTGATTGATTGGGGATTTTAGGCTGTAATTGAACAAATGCATTTGACAAAAAAATCAAAGCTCATTTGTTAAAAATTCACTTTATATTCATATGTTTACTATTTACATAACTGAGTAAACATAAGAATTTAAAAAAATCGATCATGTAAATGAATGAACTATATATATATGAGCAAATAAAAATCTACTACTGATTAGTAAAAAATTACAAGTATAAAACAGAAAGATTAAAGTCTAGTCCTAACAAAAGGGAAATATATCAAATCATGCCAGCTCAATTGGAGGAACAAAACCAAGTTGAATATCATCAGACGATGCACCCCATTTGGTCAAAAAATCAGCAGGTTTATTGGATTCCCTGAAAGCAATGTGACCACTATGTATTGAACAAAGGTAAACGGGCAAAAATCATTTTCCAAATAAGAACTCAAAACCACGGGCAAGCAGTAAACCTATTATATATATTTAAGGTGACAATGGAAGCCAACAAAGATAAATAATTGCTTGATGCATTTATTAGTTTGAGCTATGTGATAATTAAGGAGCTTTATCCTTATTTATATTCATATTTTTCTATATGTTTGATTCAAGTTGTTTCAATATATTACCCTAGATATTATTTTATCTTTTAACAAAATTGATTGATATTTGTTTATATCACGCTCTCTAAAATTGCATATTTTATACCTTATCAATGTTCTTCTAATTCAAGCTTTTTATCTTCAAATCATATTTTCATTGATCCTTCATTTTATGTTTTTTTCCAATTGTCTCGTTTATTAAAACTATGGCATTTACAAAAAAGCGTATTGTTGTAACTCACTTTGAATTTCTTTTACAAACATTTCCATATGTGAAATGTTTCTACATATTTATATATATATATATATATATATATATATGCGTGTGTGTTTTAGTCGTATTATGCTCAACCATCCAATCCACATTTAAGTTTGTTAATGTGATGAAAGTAAACAAAGTAAAGCAAGCTATAACATCCAAAAAATTACAATTCAAAGTGAAATGACAAGTGAAATTTTTTTTACATGAGTTGAGTGACATATGTTCGTCCTCTAGTTTCTCTCAGTTTAGATTCCACTATTTACTCCATTAAATAATGCCATCCATCTTTTCCTTTGATGGGGAAAGAACACCCTTACATTCTCCTTCTATTTTGTAAGAGAACTCTTCAAAGTCTTTTTATAACTTGGCAACCATTAATAATGGAATAAATATTCAACCATTAACTCTTACTTACAAAGTACATGAACCATTAATGTATTAATGGATTGAGAGAAGTATGGGCTTTAATTTAGCTCAAGATGATTGAATAGATGGACACTTTAGATCTTAGATTTTTGTGACGAATGCTACTTTCATTTGCTTGTGATGGCTCAGTTAAGAAAAGCTAATATAGATAAACCAAAACGAGTATGATACCAAATTTTAATATTCTTCACCTAAGAATAAAGCAATTATATTTTTAATAGATGAAAGAAGTTAAGTGTTATTATACAAGTTAAATGCAGACATGAGCATATGTAGAGATACACATGATGCACTTCTCTCAATATACAATCAATTATTATATATATAAAAAATGAGTCTCTTCACAAGAAGGGCATTGATGGACACATATGGTAACAAAATTAGGTCTCCCAAAATGCAAAATAATATAAAAAGTATATAATTTGCAAATACGTTTATGAAAAAAATATTTCCTTAATTTAGTATAAAAATAAATGAAAATTTACAATTTGAATGTAATTTTAGATATGTTTCATGTTATTGATCCATAAGATTTACTTAGCATAATTTGTATGTTTTTTGTTTGGAGTAGATTGAATTTTTCCTTACTTTTGATTTCTTATTGCTTTTTCTACTTCCTTCATGTCATTTGGAGGATGTGAATGTTTTTGAATTACAGTTACATTGGTTTATTGTTGCATTGAATGGCTGGAGACAAGCATTTATGAGGATTAATGGCGGCACCTACCTTTGCTGAGCTACTTGAAGGCAGTAAATCTTTTGACACTAAGGCACTGATTTTTCCACTTTGAATTACAGTTACATTGGTTTATTGTTGCATTGGATGGCTGGAGACAAGCATTTATGAGGATTAATGGTGGCACCTACCTTTGCTGAGCTACTTCAAGGCAATAAATCTTTTGACACTAAGGCACTGATTTTTCCAAAACACTTTCATGACCACTTAGAGGCATGAAATGAGGATGGTTTTCTTATTAATGCTAGTAGAAAAAGGGGCAAGCCAACCATTTTTTATTTGAAACTGATACTCCTATTCTAGTTGAAACTTTGGAATTTGTTTTTGTTAGTAAGTTACTTATGTCAATTAACAAATGGACATCATCAAAATTTTTTTTGGGAACCTAAAAATAATTGGTGAATGGCAAATTGGAGCTTTAGATGGCAGACACATTCTTATTAAACTTAATAGGGAGGAAGAATATGCTAGAATGTTTTGCAGCAAACCATGGTACATTGAGGATGCCTAAATGAAACTGCTAAAATGGACAACTAATTTTGACCCTAAATTTGAATCACCTATTATTCCAATATGGATCACCTTCACTAGTTTTAGGCTTCACTATTTTAATGAAGTTCTATATTAATTAGGAGCAATCTTTAGTAAACCAATGAAAGTGGATCTTGCTACTGACACCCGTAATAGACCATCTGCTGCTAGTGTCATGGTTGAAGGAGACATCACTCAAAACTTACTTGAAGAGGTTGGGATTGGTACAATGAACAATGGTTATTGGAAAAAGTCAATGTGGAGTATAAACCTATGTATTGTAGCAAATGCAAAAATTTTTGTCATAATTTAGAAACTTGTTTTATAGCACATCCTAAAATAAGGGCTCAAAAAGGACTTCCAAGAAAATAAGGAGCTAGAGCAGAGAAACATGTCTAAAAATGCTCTGGATGAGCAAGCAACATACCAACAATTTTTAAGTCCCGCACAAGTTGCTTCTGAAAATTTTGAAATCAGTAACAGGTAGAATGCAGCTACCTGTTATTACACCCGAGGATCATCTATTACAAGGTCTAATAGATATGTAAGACAAGGCACTAATGTGAAAATCCATACTTAACTTGAGGAATACCCTATGATTAGTAATCTGTCACTTGCATGCACACAGTTAGCTGTTGAAAGAGATGGTTGATTTACTGAAATATTGGGATTAGCTGTTGACATAGCTTGATCTGATCAAACTTAACCTATGCATTTAGACACCCAATTCTTGGTGGGGATTAATGATATGGTTGATGCTAGAAATGTGCTGGAGGGGGCTGACAAGTTCGTAAATTCAAAAAACAAAAGGATAAATAAAAAAAAGAATTAAGTTACATGAATCCAACTACAACTATGTACTAGGGTGGTTTATTTCCAACATGTATTTTAGCTAATATTGACGATGGAGATCCTTCTAGGGCTACTAGAAGGAGTAGATCCATTACTCATGACTAATTTTCTCATTTGGAATGTTAAAGGCATTGCCAAAAGGACTGCCTTTAATAGATTGTTGAATCTTTATAGAGTTCATCATTTAAGATGTTTTGCACTCTGAGAACCTATGATACAAGCTAATAATATTCCTAAACCATAAAAAACTGGGTAAATTTAAGTATATTTATAATTGTAACATGAAAATCCATTTAAGATGTTTTGCACTCTGAGAACCTATGATATAAGCTAATAATATTCCTAAACCATAAAAAAACTGGGGAAACTTAAGTATATTTATAATTGTAACATGAAAATTGGGTTCCTTAATAAAAATGATGTCAAAGTAAAACTCTTGGATGATAATCAACAATTCCTGCACCTACAGGTTCAACGGCTTCATCATACTGTTATCATGCTGTCATATATGTTAGATGTTCTTTTGCTGATAAGGATCATCTTTGGACTGTTCTGGGTGCTCACATGATTAATGTAGAAAACCCTTGGAAGGTTTGAGATAATTTCAATGCTATTGCTACTTCTGCTGAGAAGAAAAGGGGAAGACCGTCTGATTTCAAACTAATGGAAAAGTATACTGATAATATTACTAATACTAGTTTGTTTGAAGCATATTTTACTGGGAACATCCTTACTTGGAATAGAGGTGAGATATTTGAGAGGCTAGACAGA